GTTATGAATGAAGACCTGCAGGAGAAAGCTGTCATAACAGCAATAACATGGGTCACAGTCGTCAACTTCTAAGACAGAGAGGAACCAGCTCCAGGCAGAAGATGAGACCACGTGGGCAGAGGGCGGACACACAAGGCGCAAACTCACCAAGGTCTACTCAACATGAGCCACTCTGAGCAGCGTTTCAATTACACAGGAGAGGTTTACGCAGTCCCTGTTCATGACTGAGTTGAGAACACAGTTCACAGCATTATTTAAAACACAAAAGAAATATCATTTTCATATATTAATTACAGAAAGTCAGGGAAAAACCCCTTCACTTTAATTTTACTGATCTTGGTTCAGAAGGACTTTTATACCTAAACTATTAACACCCAGATCTTAAAATTAATATAATATTAACTAAAACAAGGATCCTAAGAGCAAAATAATGGCCAAGATCCATGTATCCAATCACGATGATACAGTTAAAAACAAGAACAAAAACACTAAGGTCAATCTTGCGCAGTATCTGCAGTTTTACACAAATTTAGTTTCAGCTCTCGACATGCTGTTATGAAAAGATCACCAGGAGGGTGTGTTGAATTAAAGGTAAGTGTAAAAAAGTCGAGTGGGATAAAAATGTGGAACAAAACTCAAATTTATAAAAAAGACCAGGCTTACTGGTCTGATAGAGCCTGGTGAAACCCCCGAGACCATGGCCCTAGTCACCCTTTGGCCCTGAAATTGAACTCACGCCCATGGCTTCCAGCCAAACAATAGACAGATGTATGCAATGAACATTTACACCACATAGATACACCCCGTAGAACAATCATGGGAGACCAGAAGGGCAGCATTTGCACAGGGAGACAGCTCAGGGAGCAGGAATGCATAGGAAAGAAGGACCCAGGGAAAAGGTAACCACAGGGAGGAAGTGGGAAGAGAGCTTTTACATAATGGGTACTGCAATCAATGTCATGAAACAAAATGTGCATGAAATACAGTACAGAAAACGAATGTGCTCTGTTAACTTTTACCCAAATTACAATCTTAAAAAAAAAAGAAAAAGTGTAAATTGCATGCAATCTTCTGTTAACAAACTAGGGGAAATCAAAAATGTCTAATTCCATTTGCTCCTTCGACATAAACACTGGAAAGATGATTCAGAAAGTAAGACAGCTGCTTATTTAAAGGCATCTGGAGTGCAAGGGAGAGGCTGGATGAGGAAAAGAGCCGGAACAAGTCTTCACAAAATACACTTTTAAAGTTGATCCTGAGTTTCACTTTGAAGACAGTATTAGGGACTTCCGGTAAGAAGATAAAACATGATGTAAGTCAAGTGAAATATTAAGTGTTTTGGTAGGAATTCATGTTCAAGTAAGCAAATCATTTAAAATGGCATCATTTAGAACCCAACCATTATTACACAGTCTAGTATCCTTGTAAAAACCACAACAGTCCAAATTCAAGCTCTTTCTAAACCCAGTCACCAGGACATCAGTGTGGATATGTCCATTGTACCACTGTATCTCAGCCAGGTGAGTGTTTCTAAAATGGTTATAATATTGCACATGTCAAGGTGCTCAGAGGACTTGTTCAATGTAACAGGAGTCTTCAAGAACCCTCTGCAGATTTAACCAAGTGTCACAATAACTATAACATCAGTTAAAACAGCTATTCCTCTGTCTTTTACGAGTTTCTATCCATTAGGTTGAAAAACGAGAAACATGCCACATGGTCTAGCAAACTTCTTCCACTGGGAGCCACAAACCCCAAAAGTCAATACACACACCTCAAGAGTTGAGCTTCTCCAGCAAAAGAGGACACTTTAACTCTAGATTCCAATTCAACTATGGACAACAGTCAAAAACGACAGGGATCAAATACCAGCTCTAGGTACAGGTGGGAGGATAAGGACCCAGACTGGGGATTCATGCTTCCCACACACCTGGAAGCCTCTAGGCCAAATGATTCCACATGAGAGGGAAAGAAAAAAATATGTCTGGAGGCCCACAAAGGATCCACCTAAAATCACTGTCCCCAGCTCAACACCTGTGGTGAGGCCAGCAGAACATCAGTATGACCCAGGAACCCATCAACTGTCAGGCAGGGCCTCCAATTACGGACTCCCTCCCCGCTTTTCTAGCCCATAACACAGTGTGAGAGGCTGAGCTGCGGTTATAGGACTGCACAGAAAATGCTCCAGTGTCTGGGGGAAGTCAAGGAAACTAGCGAGAGACAAGGGACAAGGAGGGATCTGGAGGGCCGGGTCTCACCCTCCACAGCCGGTGCAGCTCCACCCTCAGGCTCTGGTCAGAGACTTCAGTCCCTCAACACGGAGCACCAAGGATGCACGGCTCCAACTCGGAAAGTCCCATTAGGCAGGTGACCCCAGACATCCAAATCTTACAAAAGCACAGATGTACAGAAAAAGCACCCCGTGAGGGTCGAGCAGGGCTTCAGGAAACCTCAAAAGGCTCAGTCCCAAGGCCTCCTCGGCCACTCTTCCACACTGAGGAACCACTTCAGTGACACACACAACAATTCACGTCTAGCCTCACACGCTGATGGAGAGAAAAAACCCAATTCTCTATTGAACTCACCATTTCCTGGCTCCACCCTCTGGAGGCGAAGGGAAGGTCGTCTGCAAGCCCAGAATCCACTTCAGAAGAGAGATGGGAGTCGCAGCAGAGGCCAGGGCCCTTTCAAGGCAGATGAATAACGTTTGGTCCACACACAGGTCGGAGCAGTTGAAATCCTTCCTTAGGATTTATGGATGTGCAAGATGGCTGCACTAGGCCAACAGCTGCCTGGACTGGACGAGTTCTCTGTGCCCCACAATGGTGACCTGAAATGGAGGAATGGGGAGGAGACAGTGGTGAGTGAGCAGGAGTGACAGGTGTCTGGCTTCCTCCCAGGCCCAGGGCCACGCTCCACCCTGAGGGCATCTGCACGGAAGGTGAACAGGCTCCAGCCTCCAGGGCCCACACCTGCATTCACCACGCAGCTCCCCAGGGCTCAGCTCCCCAGGGCTCATCTTTCTGCAACAAGACCACACATGGAGGAATTCACCTCTCCCAGAGCCTAAGAAGAGACCAGGCCTAGCCAGGCTGGAAACCTTGACCCTGATTGCCTCCAGGAGTCTGGTGTCCAATGTGGATGTTGTGAGTTCATCTACATACCTCTGTCCCTTATAGATCCACACACACACTGTTACTAGGTATGAACTTGGGTGAATTTTCAGGAAGATAATATTTTTCAAGTTTTGACAATGAACTCAACAAACCTCGTTCATTTTTAATTATTTGCAACCACTGTGTTTAAAATTTTTTTAATTTCATTTATAGTACTGCAATATGTGCTTGATATTTACCCTATTGCTTCTGTAATTATTCTTTCTTTCTTCCCTTTGAAATTTTGGTTTTATATTTTTCCCTTTTCCATTCTAAACTGTGACACCACCAATCCCTAAGTTTTTGGGAAATCTGGGAGGATTCCTGAACACTATGTCTTTCAATCTTTTCATAAATTGATCAACAAATAAATCAGAAAATCCTTATATTTGCTCTGAGGAACTGTCTCCTGCCACCGGTTCCATTTCTTTCCACCCCGCTTCCCCTCCACGCGGATTCATTTCCTGTTCTCGGTGTGAATGCTCTCTCTCACTCTCCCACATGATCTATGAATCAGTGTCTCCTTTGTGAGCATTCTTCTTACTTTTATTATTTCCCCGGATAGCACTCTCTAGTTTCAATTCCCATCTGTATTTCCAGACTTCTTATTTCCAGGATGAACTAGGAGCTTGTTCACTATGTACAATCTCTATCCCAACTCCAGAACTGCTCACTCAAAATCCACAATTTCTTAAAATCCCTGGATTATCCACAATGACATCTAAGTATGAAAAGCACTCACTCACCCATAGTCTGTAATGAGCCCCTATTAACAGATGTGTGTTCAACATCTACATCCACACCCATCACCACACTGTCTTCCTGAATCACAACCGAGCTCCATGTCCAAGGCTCCTCATTCTCTTCCTTAACTTGTTCCTAAAGTCCTGCCTGACATCCTTCAATCATGCTTGTCATTCCCTAAATCCATCTGTTGTTGTTGTTGTTGTTGTTGTTGTTTGCCGTCGAGTCGGCCCCGACTCATAGCGACCCCTCCTTGGGTTTCTGAGGCAGTATCACTACGGAAGTAGGATTGCCCGAAATCCATCTGAAGCACAGGAAATGTTGAACCCCACTCAGGGGCTGTATACTGGCCTCACGAACACCAGAGTACTCAGCAGGGCTCTAAATGACCCGCCACCACTGCCTCCTCCAATCTGCCTCACACAGAGCCGCCACCCACACTGATACCTCTGCTTCCATCATGTCTGACTTTGATCAAGGGATGAAGGATGCTGGGTTCTCTGCTGCCTCAGGGACTCACACACTCAGTTTTCCCAACAGAAACGCTCTTCCTACTCCTACCCATGCCACATGCTATCAGGCCTACACAACCAGGCACGTAGCTAAATAAAACGAACTTTCTGAATCTTCACTGAAATATTTTCTTTCATCACACGGACCTCCCTTTTTGCCCTCAATGACCGTCCTGACAGTGGGAATATGCACGGTTCGTGCTCCAGAAACGCTTCCACCTCTTAAAAACTGTGGTTCTTTGGTGGCACAGACTGTGGTTCGATGCCCCGCGCCCACTGCAGCACAGACACGCACACTAGGTATGAGCTCCATACACCCCGCCTCGCCTGGAGGAAGATGGTCCAGCAGCGTCACATTTCCTGTCAGACCGACTCTGATCAGCAGAACTGTTCCTCACGCGATCCTGATGAAAACGTCTGCCTTACAGCCAAAAAAAATGCCTGGAAACGGGCCTGTGACTGAATGTTTTCCTCCTGAAACTGGGATAAGTATGCTCCCAAACGAACGTACTGGTTCCAACTCAAGTGTCTCAACTCTTCCTCCTCGTAAACACCTAGAATCATCCAAGGAGGGGGATGAATTCCTCACCTGAATCTCCATTTGTGAATAACCAGAAACACTCAACGAAGTCCATCCTAAAGGGGCCCAAAAAACAAAGAGGGGCCGTTTCCGGTAGGAAATTGTGGTCGGGAACTCGCCCCCTCAGGAAAGAAAAGACCGGACCCTGAGTTCACACACGGGCCCTTACTAGACCCCAGTTCCCGAACACGGCAGGGGTCTCGCGATGTTACCTGTTCCCGCCCCGAGAGACGCGGATCCGCACCCCCTACTCGGCGTCCAGGAAGCGTCTGCGGCCGCCGGGCGGGTAGCGCGCGGGAAGCGGCGGCGGCGCCCGGGCGATAGGAGGGCCCGTGGCTCTGGGAGGCCGAGAGACCGAGAGTGCGCGGGAGAGCGGGGGCAGCGCCTCGGACCCGGGACCGGAGCCTGCGGGGAACTGCCAGGCCAGCAGGCCGACTGCCCAACCTGGAAAAACTACCGGCAACTAGAGCAGAAGCGCCACCCTAGGCGGTTGGCCACCAAGACGTGCACTTCCGCTTCCGACTTTGGGGCTCCTCAGGAAACTGGTTCCGTGTGGGAATCTAAAAGGCTCTAACTGGTGACCGTGAGATTCCGTGGATTTCCATTGTGTGTGGCTTTCTAGAGGAAAGCCTAGAGTTCAATCCATTTGTGAACTGAAACGCACATTTCACTATTGAAGGTAGTCTTGAGGAGCAGAGAAACTTAGTAATTGTTTATTTGGGCGTTTGAAAATATTTTACCATATTCTTTAAAGAAATCATGTTTTTCCTCCTTGTGACTATTTCCAGACTTTACAATTGTTGAAGGCCCCTGTCTGACTTCTGTCCTAGACACTGTCGTCTTTTCATATCAGGAATTTTTCCCTATAAGCAGGCTCAGAATACGCAAACCCAGCGTGATCTCTCCAAGGGCAGTGCCCCTGGAGAGACGAGTTTTCAAGGCTGAGAGGCAGGGAAACACCAGTCATCCTGAGAGCCATTACATAAATGGTGAAATACTTCTAAAAATGACCGTTATAAACAATTTTTACTTATTTCTCATACGTATATACATATATTAAAGTACATAATGCGTTCCAACATTAAATATACAAAGCAATGAACTCTGACATCTAGATAGACTTATTATAAAGCAGCTCTGGTAGCACTGTGGTTAAGGCATTAGGCTGATAACCAAAAGGTCCACGGTTCCAACTCACCAGCAAATCTTGCATTGGGAGTTGACTTAGATGCTTTACATGAGACAGGTGACGACAATATGGAGATCTCTAATTCTTGCCCCTCTTCTCCCACTTTTCATAATTATGAAACAGCTGCTATAAACATTTGTGTGCAACTTTTTATGTGGACATATATTTTGGACCTACTTGGATAAATAAGAATGCCATTGCCAGATCAGAATGGGAGGCCTACCTTTAGATTTGTAAAAATAACTTTCAGACTGTCTTCAAACACTTCAAATACTATTTAACCTTCCAGTTAGGGAAAAATCAGTTTGTTAACAAGGTGTTGGTGATGGTGTGGGGAAACATGTAATCTTATATATTATTGGTAGGGTTTAAACTGGCACAGTTCATTCAGAGGGAAATATGGTAGCATCAATCAAAATTATTTTGAACTTTTTTATTTGAACTTTTGGAATTATCATGTGGGTGAAAGTTTACAGAGCAAATTTATTTTCCACACAGCAGTTCATACACATTTTGGTTCATCACATTGCATGCAATCATCTCTCTTCCCACTTCCTACTTGTAGTTACCTTTTCCCTGTGTCCGTCTTTGCTATGCATTTCAGCACTCTAGGCTGTATCTACCAGTGTTAATACTGCCCTTCTGATCTGCCATGATTGATTGTTCTCAGGAGTGTACCTACCTGCTATAAATGTTCAAATTATACACCTGTATATAGTTTTGAAATTCTTCTCTCTTAACACCTGGAACCACTGAAGGAAGGAGAATGAATTCTTCACAATAATCTCCATGTATTGAAGACCATCAACACTCAACAAAAGTCCTACATGATGAAGCACCAAAAATAATGTTGAAAATATTGAATGATGCAGGAAGTATCAAAAGAAGATGAAAGGAATACACAGTCACTGTACAAAAGAGAATGAGTTGATGTTCAACCTTTTCAGGAGGTAGCATGTAATAAAAAACTGATGGTACTGAAGGCTGAATTCAAAGCAGCACTGAAGGAATTGGTGAAAAACAGGGCTCCAGGAATTGACAGAATATCCATTGAGATGTTTCAACAAACAGATCCTGCACTGAAGGCACTTACTCATCTATGCCAAGAAATTTGGAAGACCACTACCTGGCCAACTGACTGGGAGAGATCCATATTCGAATCCATTCCAAAGGAAGGTGATTCAACAGAATGGGGAAATTACTAAACAATATCATCAATATCACATGCAAATACAATTTTGCAGAAGATAATTCAAAAATGGTTGCAGCAATATATTGACTGGAAAATTCCAGAAATGGCAGCTGAAGAAGAGGAGATGGAATGAGGGATATCATTGCTGATGTCAAACAGATCTTGGTGAAAGCAAAAAGTACAATAAAGATGTTTGCTTCAATTGTATTGACTATGCAAAGGCATTCACTGTGTGGATCGTAACAAATTATTGATAATGTTGAGAAGAATGGGAATTCCCGAACACCTGACTATGATCATGAGGAACCAGTATATAGACAAAGAGGCTGTCATTTGAACAGGACAAAGGGATACTACGTGATTTAAAATCAGCAAGGGTGTGCATCAGGGTTGTATCCTTTCACCGTACTAATTCAATCTGTATGATGGGCAAATAATCTGAGAAAGTGGACTATATGAAGAAGGCATAATCAAGACTGGAGTAAAACTCATTGACAACCTGTGATATGCACATGACAGAAGCTTACTTGCTGAAAGTGGGGATGACTTGAAGAACTTACTGATGAAGATTAAAGACGACAGTCTGCAGTATGGATTACATCAATGTAAGGAAAACAAAAATCCTCACAAGTGGACCAATAAGCAACATCACAATAAATGGAGAAAATACTGAAGTTGTTAAAGATTTCATATTACTTGATTCCACAATCAACACCAATGGAAGCAGCAGTCTAGAAATCAGATAATGTATTGCACTGGGCAATATACTGCCAAAGACCTCTTTTTTTTTTTTTAATTAATTAATTTATTTTTATTTGGGTGAAGATTTACAGAGCAAATTCACTTTCCATACAGCAGTTCACATATACTTTGTCTCATGTCATTGACC